AAAGGTTTTAATAATTGTAGATAATTATGTGAGATTCAGAGCACACTAGGGTGAGAGAGGGGAATAGGAGAAAGTGAAATATGTACAATGGAATGTAAAATAGTCCAAGTAGCGGGCAAGAAAACTTAGCTACTATGTCCAGGAAACATTGGAATAAAAATGTTGGAAAGATAAAGGCTATCAGGGGCCTCCCTGGTGGCGCAAGTGGTTAAGAAACAACCTATGAAGCTAACCGCAGCCACTGCAAGCCAGGGAGCTACCCACATGGCGCAGCAGACCTCTCCTGACTCGCCCACTTCTCCCCTCAGCAGTGTATTTCAGTCAATCTGCTTGTTCTGTTCCCCACTCTATCTCTGCTGAATCCTCTTACCACCACCCCCCACCCTGCACCTCTGCCTGTACCCCAGTTCTTGTATGCATAAAAATAAAATAAATCTTAAAAAAAGAAAGATAATAGCTATCAGAGACTACATTTAAAATTTAGTGAGGATCTGGTGCAGGAAAAAGAAAGGCATGCAGAGGGTGGTAAGGTAAATAAAAGTAATACTTATTTGAGCATATGAGTGCAAGACATTGAAGAAGCATCCTAGACACCCCAATAGAATAGTTATTAACCTCGGGGCCTCCCCGGTGGCACAGAGGTTGAGCGCTGGGTTGCGAAGCTGCCCGCAGCCTCTGCAGCGCCGGTTCGATCCCCGGCTGCTCCCCGGCCACTGGAGGAGGGTCCACATAGCGCACAGACCTCTCCTGCAGCCCGCCGCTCCCCTCGGCAGTGTGCTTTGGTCCTTCTGCCTGCTCTGCTTCCCTCTCTGGCTCTGGTGAATTCTCTCACCCTCCCGCGCTTCTGACTGTACCCAGTGCTTGTATGAATAAATAAATAAATAAATAAATAAAATTTTTTTAAAAATAGTTATTGACCTCAGAGTCAGGACATTAAGCTGAGGATTCTGATTAAAGACAGGTCTGTTCTTGTCCATATTTATTAAAGGAATAATGGGGGAAGATACCAAAACAGACACCTTTCGAACTATGGTTCCTGGGATCTGGGTGGAGTGAGCAAGAGCAAGTAGATATTCTCTACCCAAAGGACACAAAAACATTAATTCAAAACAACACCTGCACCCCTGTGTTTATTGCAGCACTATTTACAATAGGTAAAACCTGGCAACAACCCAAATGCCCAAAAATAGATGACTGGATCAAGAAGACGTGGCATATATGCACAATGGAATATTACTCAGCAATCAAAAAAGATAAACTCATGCCATTTGCAGCAACATGGGTGGAGCTAGAAGGATTTATGTTCAGTGAAATAAGTCAGAAGGAAAAAGAAAAATATCAGATGGTTTCACTTATAGCAGGAATATAGGGGAACCAAATAAGACATCAGTGTAAAAAAAACAGTAACAATACAAAACACAACAAAACAAAAACAGACAATTATAAACCAGACATACTGCAGGGGAGGAGGAGGAAGAGGGATGAGAGGGAGGGAGGGAGGAGCACAGGGGACTGAGGTGATGGTGCACAGGTGCATTGGTGAAGGAAACTCTATGGGGACTACACCTGGGTGGGTGGGGTGGGGGAGGGGAAGCAAACATTGTTTAAAAATGAACACTGATGTAAAAAATTAATAAATTTTTAAAAAGAGTAGATAGATATTCTATATATGTATCTTAGAAAAAAAATAAATGCTCAAGTGCCCCTAGCAACATGTAGCATTTCCCACATACGGGCATCCACCTCCGTGAGGGGCAGTTGGAGACAAGGATGAGTTGATCACACTTAATAAAGCCTAGAAAAGTAAAAAGAAATAAAGAAGAAAAAATAATTTACCTGTAATGGGAAAACAATGATAGATTTTATAGGGGTTTTTAAACTATTCTCTGTATTAGAATAATGTATTAGAATGTTTAGACTATTTTCTTTTTTTACTATTTCAAATAGTGTTGGGGTATATATAAATGTATATAAAAGTGTGCATATTTTTTGTGTGCATCCAACATAATACATATATATTTTTTTAAAGATTTATTTATTTATGTATACAAGCACTGGGTACAGTCAGAAGCATGGGAGGGTGAGAGAATTCACCAGAGACAGTGCAGGGAACAGAACAGGCAGACTGACAAAATTCACTGCTGAAGGGAGCAACGGGCGTGGCAGGAGAGGTCTGCGTGCCATGTGGGACCCTCGCCGGTGGCCGGGGATCGAACCGGTGCTGCAGAGGCTGTGGGCAGCTTTGCAGCCCAGCGCTCAACCGCTGCGCCACCAGGGGAGGCCCATACATATATGTTATATACACACACACGATGTGGGCAGTTCTTGGGATTTTGTGCATTTTTATTTTGACACATACCAAGTTACCTTTCAAATTGTTGACCAGTTTACACTGCAACCAAGACCAATTGACCACTTCCCTCACTCTGTTGTCAACACTGTGTGTATCAAATCATTTCCATTTTGCCCATCTTTTAGGTGACAAATAGTATTGCATTAACTTTTTTTAAGATTTATTTATTTATGCATACAAGAACTGGGAACTGGGGTACAGGCCAGAGGTGCGGGGAGGTGAGAGGACTCTCCAGAGACAGAGTGGGGAGCACAACAGGCAGATTGACTGAAATACACTGCTGAGGGGAGCAGCGGGCGAGCCAAGAGAGGTCTGCTGCACCATGTGTGTAGCTCCCTGTCTGGGGATTGAACTCGTGCTGCAGTGGCTGCGGCCAACTTCATAGGTTGCGTCTTAACCCCGTGTGCCAACAGGGAGGCCCCACAATTAACTTTTTAAAGCACTTCAATTCCACTTTAACATGCATAATGAGCCTTCGCCAGTAGGAAGAACTGGTTCTATGCAGCACCTGGAATGAGCTGATAGAGAAGCAGTATTAATGTCAGAATTAAACATGAAGGTTTCCATTAAAAACTCAGATTGTCTGGATGAGAATCTCTGCCACCTTCCACCCCTAGGTGTTAACTTGAATACCTGGGCAAATTAGTTTGTGTCTCCGTTCCCTGTAAAACGTGGTCATTATAAGGATTAAATGAAATAATGTATATAAGTATTTGCACATGTCAAACGCATAGTAAGTGACCATTACTCTCTACCATCATTTCCTATTGCACTTAATTGAACTCTGGGCATCCTGGTCACCAAAGCAAAGAAAGTTCATTGTCCAATAATAAGAACAATAAAATAATAATAGCAAGCACCATCCTTCTGCAACATATAATCTGTGCCAGATTCTAGTCTAAATGTTTTTTTAAAGATTTATTTATTTATTTATACAAGCACTGGGTACAGTCAGAAGCGCGGGAGGGTGAGAGGATTCACCAGAGCCAGAGCAGGGAGCAGAGCAGGCAGAAGGACTGAAGTACACTGCTGAGGGGAGCAGCGGGTGGCAGGAGAGGTCTGCGTGCCATGCGGGACCCTCCTCCAGTGGCCGGGGAGCAGCCAGGGATCGAACCGGCGCTGCAGAGGCTGCGGGCAGCTTCGCAACCCAGCATTCAACCGCTGCGCCACCAGGGAGGCCCTAGTCTAAATATTTTATATATGAAAACATTTTGGTAAGAAATAGAGTTTCTCTTACTACTCACTATTGAACCCTAGGTTGAATCTATTGAAAATTTATTTCCATTATGGAGAGCAATTTCATTTCCATTTTTAATGGGGTAGCAATTTCATTTCCATTTTTAATGGGGTAGCAATTTCATTCCCATTTGTACTGGGATATCTTAAATAACACCCAAGATCCCCCCTCCAGAACCAGTTGATTTGAGATTTGAAGGTATGCTTTTGGGACTCTGAAGTCTTCCCATTCCACCATAAAGCCTTTCCAAAGGACTCTCCTTTGAAAGCGACTCTAACATGCAGTATGTAGGCGCTTGATCTAGGAACCTCGCCTTAGTAATGTGCATGCCTATTTGTATGTAACAGTTTTCAGTTGAGTTCTTTGTTAACCAAGAGTCACAACGCAACAGAAGTGTTCACAATACATTTTTTGCTGGGATCATAAAACATTGAATTCATAGAATGACACCCACAGAGGAATGAGTTCCTGAATAAAGGTCATATCAGTTGGTGATGTGAGAATTCCTGGGCCACTTGTGTCCTGGGGATTCCAAGAGGAAGAGCAGTTCCCAACCAAGGCTTGTCCATGACATCAAGGGATTCTTACTGGTGAGGCATTCATTGCAATTATTTTTATTATTTAAAAGTGTTTGCAATGATTTATAGATGAATGTATGTGTGTTTTGTCAAAATACTTTTTCATCACTAAAGTTAAAAACTATCTAAATACTAGAAATAGTCTAAATTTGTTTGGTCAGTTGAAAACATCCTGGTAAAAGGTTAACATATAATCAACTATAAGATAGTTGCTAATATACTGTCATCAAACATTACAAGGAACCAATACGTTACTTTTTCTATCTCTTTTTAAAGAGATGCTCTAATGTGAAGTGGTTTACATTTTATTTCTGCCCTTGCTCTGGGTTCCACAGAGGCTTAGATGGCTGGAATCATCTTATAGTCCCTTATGTCAGAAACCTAACATAGGTGGATCAAGTCCAAATGAATGAGATTAATGTATCAATAGTGTGATTATGAAGCTATTATGGATCAGTATTATATAAAATTCTAATATAGTTTCCCTCCCCTTTGAAATAAGAGATGACCTTTTGAAAAAAGAATGATTTTGTTTGGTAACAATATCACGCGAACGTGTATGTAGTATATATTTAGAAATGTAGAAAGTGAGAAAGGAAAAGACAACATTCAGGGCCTGCACTAGCTAATTGTGCCACTTTGAACTAATCGAGCTCTGCTTGCCCGACACCCTTCACCTGTAAAATGAGAGTGAATTTGATGTTTTTGGTGACTTTGAAATTCAGCAGCCTATTCTAGGTCTTCCATGTCTTTTAAAGCATACACTGCAAAGAACAAATCAAACGAAGGCAGAAATTTTCCTAACTCCATCTTTTCTCTGCTTTCTCCACAGACTATGTCAGAGAGTCACAATGACCTTGCACAATAACAATACAACCTTGCCTTTGTTTCCAAACATCAGCTCTTCCTGGATACAGGGCCCCTCAGAGACAGGCCTGTCCTCCAGAACAGTCACTCACTTTGGCAGCTACAACATTTCTCGAGCAGCTGGGAATTTCTCCTCTCCAAATGACACCACCAGTGACCCTCTGGGAGGTCATACCATCTGGCAAGTGGTCTTCATTGCATTCTTAACAGGTGTGGTAGCATTGGTGACCATCATTGGCAACATCCTAGTGATTGTGGCATTTAAGGTCAACAAGCAGCTGAAGACAGTCAACAACTACTTCCTCCTAAGCCTGGCTTGTGCCGATCTGATCATTGGGGTCATTTCCATGAATCTGTTTACTACCTACATCATCATGAATCGATGGGCTTTAGGGAACTTGGCCTGTGACCTCTGGCTTGCTATCGACTATGTGGCCAGCAACGCCTCGGTCATGAATCTCCTGGTCATTAGCTTTGACAGATACTTTTCTATCACGAGGCCACTCACTTACCGAGCCAAACGAACAACAAAAAGAGCTGGTGTGATGATAGGTCTGGCTTGGGTCATCTCCTTCGTCCTCTGGGCTCCTGCCATCCTGTTCTGGCAATACTTCGTTGGGAAGAGAACTGTGCCCCCAGGGGAGTGTTTCATTCAGTTCCTCAGTGAGCCCACCATTACCTTTGGCACGGCCATCGCTGCCTTTTATATGCCCGTCACCATCATGACTATTTTATACTGGAGGATCTATAAGGAAACCGAAAAACGAACCAAAGAGCTTGCTGGACTGCAAGCCTCTGGGACAGAAGCAGAGGCAGAAAACTTTGTCCATCCAACAGGCAGTTCTCGAAGCTGCAGCAGCTATGAGCTTCAACAGCAAAGCGTGAAACGCTCAGCCCGGAGGAAGTATGGTCGCTGCCACTTCTGGTTCACCACCAAGAGCTGGAAGCCCAGTGATGAGCAGATGGACCAAGACCACAGCAGCAGCGATAGCTGGAATAACAACGACGCTGCTGCCTCCCTGGAAAACTCCGCCTCCTCGGATGAGGAGGACATTGGCTCGGAGACAAGAGCCATCTATTCGATTGTGCTCAAGCTTCCAGGCCACAGCACCATTCTCAACTCCACCAAATTACCCTCATCGGACAACCTGCAGGTGCCTGATGAGCTAGGGATGGCCAACTTGGAGAGGAAAGCCAGCAAGCTGCAGTCCCAGAAGAGTATAGATGATGGAGGCAGTTTCCAAAAAAGTTTCTCTAAGCTTCCCATCCAGCTAGAGTCAGCCGTGGACTCAACCAAGACCTCTGACGTCAACTCCTCAGTGGGGAAGACCACGGCCACTCTACCTCTGTCCTTCAAGGAAGCCACTCTGGCCAAGAGGTTTGCTCTGAAGACCAGAAGTCAGATCACTAAGCGGAAACGGATGTCCCTCATCAAAGAGAAGAAAGCAGCCCAGACCCTCAGCGCCATCCTGCTTGCCTTCATCATCACCTGGACCCCCTACAACATCATGGTTCTGGTGAACACCTTTTGTGACAGCTGCATCCCCAAAACTTATTGGAATCTGGGCTACTGGCTGTGCTACATCAACAGCACCGTGAACCCTGTGTGCTATGCCCTGTGCAACAAAACATTCAGAACCACTTTCAAGATGCTGCTGCTGTGCCAGTGTGACAAAAGGAAGAGACGCAAGCAGCAGTACCAGCAGAGACAGTCCGTCATTCTCCACAAGCGCGTGCCTGAGCAGGCCTTGTAGAGGGAGTTTTATCGATCGCAGTGACCATACGCACACATCAGCCCACAGACCTTAGGAGGGAGTAAGGTGAGGGCGGGGTGACTTCTGGTGATGATGAAAATGTCTTCATCACCCAGATGTGAAAGAAGCTGCCTGTTTACCAATCCATTGAATAAACCCATTTTAACATAAAAAGTCAAATACCGATTCAGCAAAAAAAAAGCATATTACTGAATATAAAAAAAATTATTCTGAAATAGACATTGTTTTTCTTACAGAGGAAGAAAAATTGTTTCATACTAATTATATACCCAAATTCTTCTGCTTGGTTCTTTGAACAACTCCCATTAGCTCTGGAATCTCAGATGAGCATATCTAGCTGACCCGTTGCCACGTTCTTTCTAAGGATCCCCAAAGTGTCAATCCAGATCCCACGTGGAACACGGCAGGCTAGTGAATCCATGGTTCTGAAATTATTTCTTAAGTTGCAAAGCTGAACCTTCTTGTCCCAATAGAGCTTCCCGTCTACTCTTTGGTGTGTTGTTAAACTCTATTTGTGGACTTGATTCTTGCAAAGTACTGTTTTGTGCAGTTCAAGTTTCATACGAATAAAAATATATAAGTATATATGTGTGTGAGTTCCGCACACAAACACATAATGTATATAATATAATGGGAATCACTGAACTAGCAAATTGTTACTGCAATGTATGCTTTCAGTACTTGGTAACTGAAACCCTCTAGGATCCTAACATGATATAAAAGTGAAATAATCCCTGTATAATAATGTTTTGGAAACCGGGGCTGTTTTCCACGAAATGCCCTAGTGAGTGTGCAGCCGAGCGGCCAGGTGCTCCCGGCAGATCTGTGCGGAGTGGACCATCCGCTGAGCCAGGCTCAGCACTACTGTTTGACCAGACTCTGAGTGTCAGTGATCTCTGTTGCGCTCCTCAACAAGAGTTCAATCAAGTCAGGGCCCCGCTGCCCCCCCACCCCGGCCAGAGCTCAAAGAATGAGCCACATCCATATGTTTGAATTAACCCCCCAAATCTGAATATTTCCAAACAAAATCTTCTTCCAGCTAATCTGCTTGAAACTCAGTAACAGTGTCCCGTTTGAATGTCACACACAGCAGCGCAAAAGAGACACTTGTGAGGGGGTGAAGGACGCGGTATTCAGTTTCTTGCCACCTGGCACCTTCTAAACGAAAAAGGGCTTACACCTTTGTTACTTAGCTATGGCTAGTGCTTTCTGGTGTTCATTGTGTGGCTTCACCTGATGATAGGTGGAGATTTAGGAAGCCACACACGTGCTCCGAAGAAAGTGTTCCACTTTCATGTTGAAAAAGTAGAACTCTAAAATGATCTCCTTGCATTTCCCCAAAATGATTTTGTATTCTCTGAATTGACCAAAATGCTAAATGTTCTGTTTGGGGGAGGGGAGGGGTGCTGCTTTTGCTGTCATCTGTGTTGCTGCTATAGTTGTTGGGGTTCCTTCTTTGCCCTTTGCTGGGGTTGTCTGGGAGGGGGGAGGGAGGGGAGGGGGCTGAGGAGAAATCTCACCTTTGTACAGGGCCTCCGTGTTGTGAACAAGGAGCCAGGGTAGAAGCTGCTTCTGTATTCAGTGCGAGCAGGTGTTTACAGGTGACTTTACAACGTGGACGTGTACTCAGTGGTGTCTGTGTTTCTGAACTATTTAATTTTGTGTTACGTTTATATGAAGAAATATTTATGCATACTTCACCAAGTGTTTATTTAATGTTGATAAATATTGCTGTCGGTCTTCATTCATGGTGTCCTTTGAAAGTGACTCTGTGAGGTCCACTAAAGCAATGAGTAGGGTATATTGAACTTTCATGGGGCTGAAAAGACAAAACCAGCTGCTGCCACCAGCAGGTCCCTAACTCTTTCTAGGTAATAAAAAGTCAACAGTAACTTCAACATTCATGTTTGAAACCACTCTTTAGTTCAACCTGATGGGAACTGAGCAAAGCAACCCTCCACCGTTGTGTATGAAATCACATGAAAGTGGGGAGGGGGGAAGGCAAATTAGTGTAATTGAAGGATTTTTTTTTTTTGGCCCACATTCAACCAAAGAACAAGAAAAACCAGAGACTATTTTCTAACATGTATAGCAAACTCCAGAATGTTATGTTACCCACCTGTGAAACGTCTAGTGAGCAATCTCATCTATATTTTATTACTCGAGTTGGCCTGGCACTAATAAATATGTGAATGCTGATTCAAGTCTCCCAGTACGTCAGTAATTCCCATCCTTTTTGAAACTCCTAGACTGCCTCCCACTCAAAGGGGCTGTTTCCTGTATTTTTAAACAATTAGAGAGAATTAAATTTAAGAAACAGAGAAACCCTGAGCTTTGGCAGGCCTGGAAGTTTAATAACAATTTTACTTAAATGTGATTATCTCCTGATCCTCGTCCTTCTGATATTCATAATGGCAGAAAAAAACAAGTCCACGCCTAGCTCCTTTTCTATTACTGTTTAATTATATAATTGCTTTTGAATTTCTTGTGGATGAAAATTGTTCTTAGATACTGCTTACAGACTTTTTATAGAAAGTTGTGTACAAATTTCAGGTCATTTTCAGAGACAGAAAATAAGGAGACAGATTGCTTTGACTATGGAGAACTTAGGAGTATAAGCAAAGATGTAGTGAGTGTGTCTCACCAGCCATGGTTACCCAAGCATTTCTCAAAGGACTTATCGTTAAAGATGTATCCAGCTTTCACATACAATTAAATTACTTCATCCCAAACTAAGAATCAAACTATTTCATTCCATATGAATTAGGTTCACAGAGCTTTCATGAATATCCACTTTTACTGAAAGAGCAAAATAAAACAAAACCCAAAATAAACTACACATGATGAACCATCCTTCTCAGCACACACACATGCACACATTCTCCCAATCTGTCCTGTGGGCCTGGCCGATGGAGGAGAGAAATGAGCTATCTGGTTCCCTACATCGCTTGGTTCTTTTCTCTCCCGTCCATGTGCTACCATTGCTGTCTCTGCTACTTCTCCATATTATTCTGAATCATCCTTCAAATTCAGTCTTGTGCTATACTTATGCTCAACCCTTCACAGGTAATAGTTCTAGACTCTAACAGAGAGAAAACAAAAGCACAGCTGTTAGAAATGGCCGTAGCTAAGGATCTGGGAACTAGCTTTCTCTGCTAACCTGATTCTGGAGTTGGGCAAGTTCATTTCTCACATCAGTGTGAGAAATGGGAGCACCCATGTAAAGCTGCCCACATCTGGCCCAACTCAGGAGGGGAGGGTGCCACAGCTCTGGCACTGTGGAAAAGGTTGATGTCAATTATGTGGGACAGAGGAACCCAAGGCTCATCCCAGATGCCCTATGTTTGAATGGAGGTGATTCCCAGAGAGGGAGATGTGCCTTACAGCAGCTTCAGAATACTAGTGAAGGTATCCTCAAGAGGTTCTGAACCGAAAGCAAGGAGCCCTGAGCTCTTGGCACAGTTCTTCGCTAGTCCTATGCCATGCCTGTCCCTTACTCTTAAACTCTCTGGTTCTCTCCTTCTGCTCAAACTAAGCAACAACACTAAAGCATAGGCAAAGGCACTTTGCTTTCTGATAGAAACAGGTCACAAATTGCAAAGTGAGTCATGGTTTTACATAAAGGACTACAAATACCACTCCAGTCCACAGCCATCACCTGACGCCTGACAACCTTACAACTAGAGTTGCAGGGTGGCAGATGTTGTTTGATTTTGCAATGATATTTCTCACATGGCACTAAAATTTTATAGAGTACAGAAATCAAAACAGTTATCCCTTCTTCAGCCCAAACCACCTTACTTCTGTCATCTCCTCTAAAAGAATATTTTTCCCTATATGTAATGTATAACAAACTGGGTTCAGTAGTGCAAACTCCAGATCATAATGAGTTCAAATACATTTTACTACTTCCCTCTACAGACTTAAGTCACACTTTCTCTCTTTGTTTTCATAACTGTATCTTGTAGGTTTTCAAGACATACGCAACCTACCAGGATTAATGCTGGTTGAGTATTGCAAATCCAAGAGATTGGTTCTCAGGACAGTAGACCTTTTGCTCTTTAGAACTGGAAAATTCTACTTTGTCTTTTAGATGTCAGTGCTCCTGCCTGAAAAAGGAGACTCAAGCTGAAATAATAAAAATGAAAAAACAAGATAAAGGTCGTAAGTGATAAACTCTATCAGTTTGTAATCGCTCACAGCATTATTAACTGACTCCAGAAGGGGGCAAGTGTTACTATTGAAGTTAATTGAACGTGTACTACTTTCACAACTTCATGCAAAGAGATGGACAGTGCACTTGGATGTGTAGAAGTGGACCCCCTAATGCTTTAGTGTATAATTTATTTAGGTCTGTGATTTTTGTAGAACCACAGAGACTTAGCACTCAGCCCTGACCCTGCCGCTCAGGCCAGACCCAAACAATCACCTGAAGATCCAAGATGACGCCATCTGAATTGCAAAAAAATTTTCTACTTGAAAGGCAAAGATAAAAGGAGGTTGTGCTCTCCATTATAAAGAAATAGCAACACTTTCCTCACCCAAATTAGAATTAGTAACCCCATCTTAAGCTAAAAAGATTATCTCCAGAATATTATTGCTCTATCTTGAAGTCCAAAATAGTTAACAATTTGGTAATTTGCAAAACAAAAAATTATCCTATATTCTGAGTTCCTTGATGATAAAAAAAATGGGTCTTTTTTGTCTCTCTGTATCATGTAACTGGTCCAGTATCTGCCAAACACATATTCAATAAATGTTGCTTGATGTATAACAAACTCCTTATTAATAAATATATCAAAGATCAAAATTATGTGTGCATCAAAGCCCCTGCTAACATAGTCAGGAGCCACTGAGCAAGGAACTTGAAGACAAAATAATTCATTAATAGGATGTTTAATATATATTACAAAGCAAGAGGAGAAATATTTTAAGTAGATTTGAAGTAGTGAATATAATTAAGAGTACAGGAAGGGGAAAAAAATAAGCACTCTCATCCCTAGCACTCAGAAATGTTTTACCAAATTAATCTGATTCTCCCTTATTTTCCTGGTAAGAGAAATATTGGGAAGGCAAAAAAGTCAATAAATACCAGTTTTCTGTCTGTACAAGTGCAAAGCTGCAGTTTGGCTTAAAACGTCTTTGCATGTGGTTTTGCTTGGCATGGAGACTTAAGAAGCAATTCCTCCTGCTGGTCTACAAGCAATTAATCAAAAGCCCTCTTCTCTTTTCGCTGTTCATCTATGGGCATTTTCAGCCTCCCACTTAGAACAATCCAAAGAAACTTTTCTGGGGTTTATGTTTGGAGCTATGTGAAGGCTACATTTTGAGCAACACCCTTTTTTGTACACACAGAAACTGTCTCAAGTTTGGTGCAGGTTTGGGGGGAATTGAATCAAAACGGGCTTCCAAGTCAATGAATCAGCACATTGATTTTTCTTGGCAAGAAACTTTCCAGGAATTATCTATGAAAAGTTTAATGATGTTCACATCCTTCTTCATCACAAGGGTGTAGCGAGAAACTGCTGTCCAAAAAGAGATGGCTATAGATTTGCTTTGTAAGCAAAAGGCATGTATCATAGTTGCATCTAATATCGTGTCCCCATCTTTATCAAAGGCACTGAATTTTACCTTTTTTTATTACCTGGTAGCCAGAACTTCCTCAGTAATTTTGAGTATGTCATATGCCATTTTCATCCTTTCTCCTGAAAATAAGTCAATCTCTGTACTATAAAATGATGCCTGCAACTTTGTGGTGATTTATCCTCTAAGTTTAACAGTGAAAAAGGAAATAAAACTATTAATAAGCAAAGAATGTGGTTTGATTTCTTTTCAATCCAAGGTCTGTAATGCAGCAGCAGCCTTTCATTAAAACGGTAGCATATATTGAAGGGATAATTCTGAATCACAGTTATGTGCATTGGCTTTACTTATTTTCCACATACACTAGAACATTCTTCAACAACCAATATTACTACCACCATCACTGAAACACTTATACTTGTATGTTTCAGAGGATGTGCTAAGCTTGTATAAACTATACCTACACAGTCTATTCTAAGTCTTATTCGAAACCATGTATAAAGAAAAATATTCATCAGATACACACATTGAAAGGAAGTTGTATTTTCCTCTTTTTAAAAAAGATGCTTATCTTTTCTTCCCTTATTTAATAGTTGCCTTTCATTTCTTTTGGACCCATAAGAATGTGTTTTCCTACTGACAATACAACCACATATTTTATTGGATTGACTTTTAAATTACAGTAAGTATGGGTATCAATTAAAGTTACTCCCAAGACATGAATTATTTTGAAAATGACTTTCTTAGTTATGTTATGGATACTTGACTATTTTACAGCTTATGTTATGGAAACCACACTCTGCCTCTCTGATCTGATGTGGAAACTTCCTCACTCATCTTGCCTAGTCTCTCTCTCTCTCTCTCTCTCTCACACACAC